ATTTTCGAGTTCTTTATGTCATGTAATGTTGATTTGAGTTGAAGTTTCCGGAGTAAGTCATCGGACAACCGGCAAGGTGCCAGCCGTGGGTGCAGCGTGCCCGACAGCATCATGAGGCTTGTGGGCGGCTTGCGTGTGCCCTATCGGGCATCGCGCATTGCCATACTGCAGCGTTCAACATCGTACTGCTAACGGGCGTGTGCGTAGGCATGCGTAGCGCACACCAGTCAAGCACGGCAGCACGTAGTCGGCTTGCGTGCGTCCATCACCCGTAGCGCGTACCAAGTGTAGCCAGCATCTGGAGCGCCTACCCGCCTCGCACGCGTGCCGTCAGCAAGTCGTGCCCAGTGCACGCTAGTGAGTCCCAACGCCTGCCAGCATGCCTCGGCAGCGCGCCAGTATGAACGGTTGGCCTCGGCCAGTGCCCGATAGCACGCCCGAGCGCCGTGTGCCTTTAGAATCGCCCGGCAGCGCCCCTATGATACCAGTCACGCTAGCCGTGCCAACAGCGTTGGCCAGTATGCCCATTCACCTTCGGCAGTGCACAGTAGCACGCGATGGTCGTCGAATGCGCACGCGTGGCGCCAGTCACACCCGAAAGTGCACGAGCCATGTCCAGTCATGCGCAGGCCGGCGCCAGCGGCGCCCGGAAGCGTCTCAACGTCATGCCACGAGCCCAGAGGTGCACGGGTCAGTGCCCGATAGTGCCCAGTCATGTCCAAGCAACGCCGGTCGTGCCTAGTAGCACGCCAGCATGCACGGTTGTCCTTAGTCGTGCCTAGTTGTGCTCGGTAAGGCCCGGAAGCGCTAGGCCGATCCCAGCACTAGCCTGTTGGAACCCATGAGGATCTCGATATGCACAAATCACGGACAAACATTCAACATAAACCTATGCGCAGCAGATCTAAAGGTTTGATGAAGAAAACTTACTGCTTAAAATTTATGTAGATCTGGCTGGCCCGGACAGATGACCGCAAATCAAATCTTCTCGGAATCGAACAAACTTGACCAATCCAGGAAGCTGACGTCACGGCAAAGTCAACGGCGTTGACCGGTCGGAAATCGGGGTTTCTCACGTGCTCTCACGCGCGATCACAAGCTCCAGCAGCAGCTCCCTTCCGGCGGCGCGTGCGGGCGCGTGCGGCGGCGGCTGGCGGCGATCTCGATGGCGATCTTTCCGGCTCGTCGTCCTGGTCGTCATGGTATGGTCACTTGCTGGTTGTGGTCTCTGGTTTGGATGTATGATAGATCTGACTGGAATCCCGTATATACCTTAAGATCTTCTACTGTATTCTCAAACAGCTATCTAGATCTTGTATCAGTGGAGCACAAGAAATAGAACTACTCCTTGGAAGAGAGAGAGAGAGAGGGGGCGGTCGAATTCCAAAGAATATGGGATTGTTCTTCTCTTCCATGAGCATAATGCAGTATATATAGAGCTACAGTAGTGACCCTAAGGAGAATAGGATAAGGGCTTCTAATA